TTCTTGAAAATTTTCACATTCACAAAGAATTTTGTTTGTTTGTATGTATTGATAGTATTTGTTTATAAAGCATAATTTTAAGTTTTAATATTTGGGTAACATTGATATTAAATTGTAAAAAGAATGAGTTAAAAATGTATCTGGAAGAGAGAGTTTTTTTTTCATTATTATGGTTTGGTAGAATGTGGTAAGATTTTTTATGTCTGATTTTCTTTAATAAAGTTTTCTTTTTGTATATTGCCATAATGTATTTTTGTTAGAAGTGGATGATTCTTTTGAGAATGTTATATATATGCCAATCTTAAAAAAAACCAACATTTGGTAGCAGAGCGTGGTTGCCCCTTCTGTTAATAAACTTTCAGATAGAACATTGATGTTGTTTAGGCTTAACAAAATAGCCAATTTCTCTAAGAGATAAATTAGACTTGTATTATAATTAGTGAATATAAATTAGAAAATATGGCATATAATATGATAAATTTGAGTCATATAGAAAAATTAAGTGACGATAATTATCTTATTTGGGCCAACAGAGTTGAAAGTGAATTAAGAAGTTTAAAGATATGGAGAAGTGTGATAGAAGCTGATGAACCACCAAAACCATATAAAAAGGATGATGTTAATTTCGAAAATGAAATAAAAACTTGGGAAATATGGGATGATAATAACGCGATAGCAAGAAATATAATGAATCAAACTATGACAGCTCCACAAGCGTTAAAATATGCGAATGAAAAGAACGCAAAGAAGTTATGGGAGAAAATCAAAAATGAAATGGCGGCAAGAACAGAAGATATTCAAATCAAATGCAGAATAGAATTAGCTCAACTGAAAATGAGTCAAAATGAATCAGTAGATGATTATATGAATAGAGCTGTTATTCTGAAAAGTAAAAGTATTCAAGTTGAAGATGAAATAAGAGATAAAGAATTAATTTACTTCATACTTCATACTAGAAGAACTTAGAAAGGAATTTGAATTTGATGTTAAAATTATTAAAAGCAATAAAGAGAAAGATCTAGCTTCAATTAGACAAGCTTTAAAAGAAACAGAAGGAAAAAATAAACAAAGAGGAAAAGAAATAGAAGTAAGTTCTAAGGCAAAAAAACTGGATAAAATCGAAATATGAAAGAAGATGCTTTAATTGTGGAAAATTAGGACATTTAATAAAAGAATGTCGAAATAATAATAATAGTATAAAGTGCTTTTGCTGTGGAAAATTCGGCCACAAATCAACTGAATGTAAAATGAAAACTAAACAAGAACACCGACAGCAGAGAAATGTAACAAATAAAACTTATAGAATGTCAAGCAAGGAAAGAGAATATGAATCAGCTACATGCTTATTTGAAGTATCTAAGAAAATAGAAAGCTCATATCTTAATCAAGATAGAAATGATGGAAAGAATAAAATAAATAAACAAGAGAATAGAAAAATTAAATGGATTATTGATTCAGGAGCCACATCTCACATGGCAACTAATAAAGAAATATTTACTAATTTTAAAGATGAAGAACGACAAATAATGACGGCTGAAAAAGGGGCCATGATCAAATCAGTTGGTATTGGTAACATTAAAATGCAAACTGATAGAAATAAGAACATCTTGAGAGTAGAAAATGTTCTGCAAGTACCGAATTTAAGTGAAAATCTGCTGTCAGTATCAAAAATTGTAGATCATGATTTAAAAGTAATTTTTACCAAAAATAAAGCAGAAGTGATCAATAAACAGGGAAACATTCTATATATAGCTAACAGAAATGGAAATAAATTTGAAGTTGAAGGAAATATTGTTGAAGAAGCTAAAATTAGTTATGTTAATGATGTACTATGGCATCAGAGACTAGGTCATATAAATTATCAAAGGCTGATAGAAATGAAAAAACACTCATCGGTCATTGGATTAGAAAATGTAAAAATTTCTGAAAACAATTGTGAACCTTGTACATTAGGTAAAATAACACGAACATCTTATAAAAGTGTGAAATTTAAGCAATCTGAAGATATTTTAGAATTATGGCACATAGATTTAGTTGGACCAATTGAGAAATCAATAGATGGAAGTTGTTATTTTTTAACAGTGGTAGATGATTACAGTAATTTCATATTTGTGATAAACAATTGAGAAGAAGAGTGAAACTTCAGAAGCTCTAATCAAACTTATCATTCAAGAAGAAAGACAAACAGGAAAGAAACTAAAAAGAATTCGTAGTGATAATGGTAGTGAGTTTTTTTAGCTAAAAATATAAAAGAATTTTTTGAAAAAATGGGAATTAAACATGAACTTACAACCCCTTATACTCCGGAAAGTAATGGAAAAGCTGAACGTTTTAATCGCACTATAATTGAATCTGCTAGAACTATGTTAATTGATGCAGAATTACCGATAAAATTTTGGTCTGAAAGCGTTAAAGTAGCTGTACATGTGAATAACAGGAGTCACAAAAATGATAAAAGGTTTACACCATATGAACTATATAAAGGACGCAAGCCTAACATTACTTATCTTAAAAGATTTGGATGTGAAGCATATGTTCATATAAGACGAGAAAAACGTAGAAAGATGGATCTAAAAGCTAAAAAAGGAATTATGATAGGCTATAGCATGAAGAGAAAAGCATACAAAATTTATATCCCTGAACTAAATAAAATTCAAGAAGTGAGAGATGTAAAATTTGATGAACAGAAACTTGGATCACCTTTACTAAAAGAAAATTATTTAAATTTCGATAAAATCAAATATTAGAAGAACTTATTATTTTTTATAAGGAACAAACTAATGGAAATGTAAATAATTCAGAAATAACTAACAGATACTATAGAGAAGATAATACAACAGATGAAGAAGCTGAGAAAATTTTGCCATCCAATAGTGATGATGAACACGATGATAACAATTCATTGGAAAAGCCAACCGAGTATCCGCAAATAAATGAAGAACCTGGAAATGATAATCATGGAAATTCCTGTACAGAAAAGACCAGCGCGAATTACGAAGCCCCCAGAAAAATTAAAAGATTATGTAGTATACAATACAAATGAAGGATTACCTAAGACGTATGATGAAGCTATAGAATCTGCTGAAAGTGAATTCTGGCTACATGCAATGAAAGAAGAACTGAGTTCAATGGAGGCTAATGAAGTCTGGGAATTAGTTGAAAGACCCATCAAACCGCTGGATATTCTCAAAAAGGGATGAAAAGGGTAATTTAGAAACAATTTACAAAGCAAGACTAGTAGCAACCGGATTTAATCAAAGAAAAGGAATTGATTATGAAGATGGATTTAGCCCAGTAATGAGACTTGCAACCTTTAGAACATTACTATCGATTGCAGTTTACAAAAACTACAAAATAAGATTTTTCGATGTAAAAACTGCATATTTAAATGGATACTTGGATAAACCAATTTACATGGAACAACCACCTGGCTTTATATCAGATCCGAACAAAGTATATCTTGTAAACAAAAGTATATATGGATTACCACAATCAGGAAAATGCTGGTATGATGAATTATGTAAAGTTCTTAAAGAAAAGAATTTAACTAGACTAAAGTCAGATCCGTGTGTTTATATTTATAAAGATAAGATCAAATATTTTATCATAGCATAGCAGTATATGTGGATGACTTAATGGTGATTGGAAATTCAAATTCTGAGATAAATGACATCATCTCTCAACTATCTAAATCGTTCACATTACGAGAAGTCACTCAAACACAAAAATTTTTAGGAATAGACATCCGGCAAGAATCTGGAAAACTTATACTCAGTCAAGAAAACTATATAACTAAAATCTTAAAAAACTTTGAAATGGATGAATGTAAACCTATCAAGACTCCAGGAATATTGGGTGAAAATCTTGATGACATAGCATCTTCACCACCTGTGTCGAAGACAAAATATCAAGAAGCATTAGGTTCATTGATGTACTTAGCAACAGGCACAAGGCCAGACTTAGCTTTTGCAGTAAGTAATTTGTCAAGATATAATCAAGATCCCAGAGAGAAACACTGGAAAGCTGTAAAGAGGATATTTAGATATATTAAAGGAACACAAAATACTTGTTTAGTGTATACTTCAGACAATGGGAAATTAAATGCTACATCAGATGCAAGTTGGTGTACCACTGAAGATGGAAAATCATTTGGAGGTTATTTCATTAAATTAGGCAAAAATTTCATAAATTGGAAGTGCAACAAACAAAGAATAGTTGCTCTATCTACAATGGAAGCTGAACTTTTAGCATTCTGCGAATGTGCATGTGAAGTTAAATGGTACATCTTTTTACTTGAAGAATTGGGTCAAGATGATCTAATTGACAAACCAATAGGAATTAAAACAGACTGTCAAGCATTAATAGATTGGATTAAAAAACCAAAACAAAGTAGCAGTTCAAGGCACATTAATAGAAAATATTTCTTTGTTAAGGATGAATATGAAATGAATCAAATCATTCCTCAGTTTGTGTGTTCACAAAATCAAGAAGCGGATATTTTAACAAAGTATCTACCTAGGGTGAAATTAAAAGATGAACTATTAAAGTATGGACATGACTGACTGATTAAAATTATATCTTTAAATACAAATAAGGGGGGAATTGATAGTATTTGTTTATAAAGCATAATTTTAAGTTTTAATATTTTGGCAACATTGATATTAAATTGTAAAAAGAATGAGTTAAAAATGTATCTGGAAGAGAGAGTTTATTATTATGGTTTGGTAGAATGTGGTAAGATTTTTTATGTCTGATTTTCTTTAATAAAGTTTTCTTTTTGTATATTACCATAATGTATTTTTGTTAGAAGTGGATGATTCTTTTGAGAATGTTATATATATATGTCAATCTTAAAAAAACCAACATGGTATTAAAGACAAAACTTATTTGCTTATTTCTACACAAACTGTAAATGTAGTTACTAGAATAACTTAATTTTTTTTAGTCTTTCTTTTACTTATGTTATAAAAATGCTAATAATTTATATCCAATTATTTTAGTTCACGTGCACGTACATCATCTTATCCCAGTGTATTCAGTTGTTCGGCTACTAAATCAGTAGAGTACCAAACTGATAATAGCGATGAAGAGAGTACTAAAGAATTCGCGCTGAATCGAAAATCTCGCTATGATATGTGGATGGATGGTCAGAATTTAATGCCTGATGTAGAAAACAAGGATTTTGGAGAAGGTTTTTAAAAAACTTCATTTTTTCTTATTTATTCTTTCTTATTTATATTATTATTATTATTATTATTTTAGTCTAACTTAAAAATTGAAACTGGAAAATAATACTTTTTTATTAAAATAAATAATAATAGTAACCGTGTGTCCTCTTGTACACTGGAATAATATTTCTATTGCTGACAGAAAACTAGAGCATGAGAAATTGCATTGGCTTAACCTATCCCTATCAAAATGAATGTGAAAAATCGAATATGCATTGAATATTGCATTTTTTTAAATTTCATTAAAAGAATTCACTATAAATGTTTATTTATTTGCTGTCTCTGCCTATTATTTTATTTAATAAATTTTAAATAAAATAAAATTTGTTTTAAAAAGTTTTGGGAATAGTTTTTCCTTTTAAAAGTTATGAAAATTAAGAAGAAAAATTCAGCACGTGCAATTTAAATTAATGCTTAAACCCAATTATATAGATGCATTTCTTACAATATACAGTAAAACGTAAATGTAGAATAACAGTTATAGTTAAAACAAAACATTTTTTTAAGCTGAATTTCGAACACGTTTTGAAACTAAATCACTGTCTTTGTACGTAACATCTGTAAGAGAGCAAAGTGAAATTAGTTATATCAGGCAGTTTGTACTGTAATGTTTTCGACTGATTACCTCTTGACAAAATTTCAAATCAAATTGATCTAGTAGATGACTTCCACTTACTCTGTACCAACCTAAAATCTCAAAATCATTATGAACTGGAATGAAAAATATATTTCCAGTATCGTTAATTTTTAAAGTTTGCTTGATAAATAATCTTACATTTTCAGATAAATGCAACTGATTGAGACTCATTAATTTATATTAATAATATGATGGATAACTGTAAATAGGAAAAAAGAGGAGGTAGATTAAAAATTTAGTACTTTAACTGCTAAAACTGTAAGAATAATTTCGATAAAATTGTGTAGATAAACATTTCAAATTTACATGTTATGCATAATTATAAAATTGAGCAATAAATAAATGTTAAAATAATGAGTATAATCTACTTTTTCATATAGAAGATAAGTAGAATATTCTAGCAATATAGGCATGCTGATAATTAATTTTATGGCAGTCATCACAGAAATCTACAGATGTAACAGGAATGATGCTCAGAGCTTTATGTGGTGATAGATAATAATGACAAAAGTAACAATTTTCATACTGCATTTGCATGGTGATATGTGAATGTTGAAGCACTGTAAGTATGAAGGATATGGAAGGCAAAAACTTTTCTCATGCGTATTTGCAGGAGGTAGTCTTTGATATTTTCAAAATTTCTTTAAATGGATAACCAGTAACTGCACTACGTGCATCACATTGACTAGATTGGCTTTGCTGAAGATTGTGCCACCAGAATTTGTATCACTGCTGTGAACGTATGTGATATGTTTGGGCATTTTCCAAAGAGTATACTAGCCGCTTTGGCACTGCAGTGATGCCTCTTTTGTATTTGATGGTCATTCATTTGAACAATTCTAATGAATGTGGATACTTATTTCTTGTAAATATGTATAATTAATAATATCTTTTTCACCATCTGCTTTATACTTATTGTATACCAGCATTCACATTCCACCACTTATTTTACTATGAAAGTGCATGCTTTCTTGCCACTTAAGGTTTTGCTATGTTCTTTTTGTCCTTAAAGCACATCATTCCTATTACATCTTGTAGAATCAATAGCAAAACACTTCAGCAAATCTCTTACATAGATAACATAGGCTCACTAGGAAGGCTGTTTGCTGAAGTAGCTCCACTGTTACCTCTGCTGTTAATGCTATTGAAAACTGGTTTTTGTTCTTGAGATTTTCCTAACAATATAGTCTGCTTATGCATGGATTTTTCATAAAAATAACAAAAAAGCATTGATATTGTATATACATATTTTCTTATGCTTGTTAATGTAAATAATGTCTGTGATATGTTTATGTCTTTAAAATATATGCTTTTGCTCTAGTAGAAAATTCAATGAACCCTGTGAAAACAGTTCACTGTAAACCAGCAAACAGGCGGCTGTATGCAGATGAAGAGGACGCAAGATTAAGAGATCAGCGGTATGATTTTAAACAAATGATTTCATACGTATTTGTAATAAAATGCAGATTAATAATATTAATCTTGCCTTCTTTAAAGTATTGCAGAATATTTGTAATGTAAATTTGTGTATAGAGTGGACCATCAATATAAATATAAATTTTAATAAAATGGGATATTTGGCAATTTTTCAAAATGCTGCATATAGTGATGCAGTTAAAAAGCTTTCACTAAAAACATAAATAATATTTCTGCCCTGTTGAACATAACTTAATGCGGTTTTAAAAAGTGATATGTTTCCTGGAAAAGTCATATGTTTATACCCTTATATTACCCCTTATAATTATATTATATATGTTAACCCTTATAAATAATTGTGTATATTACTGCAACCCCACTGCATGAACTGCATCTGGAGCTTATGTGTGTGTATATCTATCTGTATATGTGCTTTGTGTGTCTACCCGGCACTACAGAGACCTGTCCTAACTGAGGAGCCCTCATATTAGTTAGGGTGGGAGTTGGCAGCCCAAGTTCCACAAGAAGTAGAAGTGCGCAAATCATGCTACTGACTTAGGACCCCAATTCAGGAGACCAGAATTTTATTCTATAACAAATGCTAAACCTCAAATGCATAGGTTCACCACTACCGTTTTCTCATGTATCACACTTGTGGGAAATAGGAGTGCCTGAAGATCTGATTGGTCGTAAATATAGTCCGACCAATACTATGTGGGCTGCACCACCCTAGAAGAATTGCATGCAACTAAGTAGACAGCAGAATTGCCCCTGCATCCATACAGATATCTCCAATCCCGGGACTTTTCCCTTACTCCCTCTCTGTCTCTATATGTATATGTGTAATAGTTTGGGAATCGTACAATGGTAGAACTGATTCATTTTTCAGTAAAGGCCAGAGTGCAAATGGAATTAGAAGGTAGCAGAGATACTAATGGCATGGTAGGCTGGAAGCTATACTAAGTAAAACTGGCATGATAATTTTAACACATATTATTTCTGAACATACACAATTTTTGGAAACCCATTTTTTAGACATTGCTTAATACAATTTGCAATCACAGTTTTAGAGCAAAATATGAAAAATTTAATAAGAGTAAACAGATGATAGCTAGGTAAGAGCAGAGGAGAAATATATGCATATTATACAACAGGACGTATAAATAAGGTCGGAGTACATTGTTTGAATTTTGCATTGGGATTTGGCAAGAACTTCCACAATGCAGCGAAAAAATAATGTCAGTGGAGATCCTTTGAAAGTGTTGTACTTATAATTAAAATAAAGAAATTAATGAGCTATTGCCAATTATGTCAGTGATTTGTTTTTGATTGACATTCATATTTTACACATTGGGTATATGTGTATATATATCTACACAAGTGACATTCATATTTTACACATTGGGTATATGTGTGCGTATATATATATATATAAACCACTTGAAATCTAGTTTTAATAAATTTAGAATATTATAATAAATTTTTTTCTTTAAATATAACATTTATATATAAAAAATTTTCATAATCTAAATTAAAATTAAATTTTACTTCAAAAACTTTTCAATTTTTACATTCCTTAATAATTTGCGACATTTTTTCACATGTTGTTACAGTTTGAGTTTTACAATTTTTTACAAATTGTTTTTACACATTTTTGCAACAGAACACACATTTTACATTACTTAGTTTACAGAGTAGGTTTTTTTTTTAATTGATCACAGATAGCAGCTTTACGCTCAACTTAATCGTACATTAGCACCCTCTATTTAAAGTTTGCAAAACACTACTTACATCACTTAGATTGGCGATGATTCTCCACTCCCTAACAACAAACTAGTTGGTAAGTTAAATTAAAACTTACTATTTACTTGTCTTTTTAGTATTATTTAAGTATAATTTATATATGTTTTTTATAGATGATGTCTAGTTTCTTTTGATTTATATGCAAAATTCATGTAGGTTAAGTTTCTAAACTTCTTTGGTTTTCTACTCTTATTTTTTTATTTTATTCTTGTCTTTTAATTGATCATTTCACAAAATTCCACTTGTTTAAATTTTTTTTTTCTAATTCACCACATTTCGTATTACTTTTGGTTTGACTTTTACTCTTGCCTACATGAATAATGAAACACGAATTGAATGATTAAAGAGTTAGGTTTGGAGGCAACTTCCCCTTGATAAGTCTGTCTCCTCCCTGCTCAACAATCATTCACTTATGCATTTTTCTAACTATTTTTTAGGATTAAATAATTTTTAGAATTTTATATTTATTCATGAATTTGATACTTGATTTACATATGCTCTCCGAATTTAAATGATATTGTAGATTAGTTCGCAACAACATTAATCATTTATTTATTTGCATTAAATTTAATTTAAATTAACTTTAAATATGCCTTTAATTTGGTTTTTATGAATACAGAATGTTTGCTAAATTCGAATTTCATTCATTGCAGCAATGGTGCAAGAGAATTATTTAAAATTAAATTGAACATTACTTTATTCTTTTGAAGCAATATATATATATATATTTTATGAAACAGGTACATCATATCTGTACCCAGAATTTTGAATTCTGTACTGTACACAATCAACTTAAAATTTATTTACCACTCCTTATTTTAAAGTGGGTATTATTTTTTAAATGGATTCAAATACCCAAACTGTGTAATTTCGCATTGCGATTTGACAATAGCTTCTGCAATACGAAAAAAATAATGTCAATGCAGATCATTTGAAAGTTCTGTACTTATAATTAAAATAAAGAAATCAATGAGCTATTGCCCTTTAAGTTAGTGATTTGTTTGTGATTGTCATTCATTTTATGTATATATGTATGAAAGAACTTATGTGATATCTCTGAAAACGAATTTTGAATTCTGTACTGTACGCATTCAACTTAAAAGTTATTTAGCATTCATTATTTTAAAGTGGGTTTTATTTTTTTAAAATGGTTTCAAATACCGAAAACGCAGAATTTGCATTGCGATTTGGCAAGAGCTTCCTCAAAACAGAGAAAAAAGTTATCTCAGTGGAGATGCTGGTGAATGTGTTGCAATTATATTAAAATAATGAAATTGATGGGCTATTGCCAATTAAGTCTGTGACTTGCGTGTGATTGACTTTCACATTGTACGCTTTAGGTATATATATGAAACGGTTTACATCATATCTGTAAAGAAAGTGTTAGTTAGGAAAGAGGGGATTGGAGTTGAAGTCTTAACTGAAGATAAATTTTGTGAATATGAAAAGCTTGAAGAAATCCCGATTTTGAACATAAGAAGCTTCTTTGTGAATTTAATTTTCTTGAAAATTTTCACATTCACAAAGATATTTGTATGTATGTATTAAAGACATTACTTGTTTACTTATTTCTGCACCAAACTGGAAATGTTCCTCTAGAATAAGTTAGATTTTTTTGTAGTCTTTCTTTTATTTATTTTATAAAAAAAATGCTAATAGTTAATATTCAATTATTTTAGTTTACATGGACATAAATTATCTTATCCCAGTGTATTCAGTCGTTTGGGTACTAAATTCACCGAAGATGAAGAGTGCCAAATTGATATTAGTGATGAAGAGAGTGCTGATGAATTCACGCTGAATCAAAGGTTTCTCTGCGAAAGGTGGATCAGTGCTCAGAATTTTATGCCTGATGTAAAAAAGAGATCTGGAGAAGGTTTTTAAAAAACTTCATTTTTTCTTATTTATTAGAGTCTAACTTAAAAATTTAACTAGAAAAAAATACTTTTTTTATTAAAATAGTAATCTTGTGTTTCTCTTGTACACTGAATAAATGTTAGTGTTGCTGACAGAAAACTAGAGCATGAGAATAAATACTTTCCACTAGAAATATTTTGCATTGGCATCCCTATCAGTAAAGGAATTGTAGAAATTCGAATCTGCATTGTATACCGCATTTTTTTATTCCACTAAAAGGATAAATTAAAAATATTTATTTATTTGCTGTCTCTGCCTATTATTTTATTTAATAATTTTTAAATAAAATAAAATGCCCAATTTTAAACATCAATTTTAAAGTTTTTAGGAATATTTTTCCTTTTAGAAAGTATGAAAATAAACAACAAAAAAATTTTTTAAAAATTGAGCAGGTGAAGTTCAAATTAATGCTTAACCCCAATTATATAGATGCATTTCTTACAATATACAGTAAGATATAAATATGGAAAACAGTTATAGTTAAAATAACACACTTCTGAATTTGGAATGAGTTTTGAAATTAAATCCCTATCTTTGAATGTAACATCTGTAAGAGAGCAATGGGAAATTAGTTATATAAGGCAATTTGTGCTGTGATGTTTGTCGATTAATTACCTCCTGAGGAAATTTCAAATCAAATTAATCTGGTAGATGACCTCCACTTGCTCTATACCATCCTAACATCTCTAAATTATTATGTACTCGAAGAACTGCAATGGAAAATATATTTCCAGTATCGTTATTCTGTGTTAAATTTTAAAGTTTACTTGATAAATAATCTTGCATTTTAAGTTAAATGCAACTGATTGAAATCCCTTACCTTATATTCATAATATGATGGATAACTCTAAATAGGAAAAAGAGCGGACAGATTCAAAATTTAGTCCATTGACTGCTGAAACTGTAAGAATAGTTTCAGTAAAACTTTGTGGATGAACGTTTTAATTTGACAGGTTATGCATAATTATATAAAAGTCAGCTATAAATAAATATTACAATAATGAGTATAATCTACTTTTCCATATAGAAGATAAATAGAATATTCCAGCATTATAGGCATGCTGATAATTAATTTTATGGCAGTTCATCACAGAACTCTACAGATGTAACAGAAATGATGGTCAGAGTTTTATGTGGTGATAGATAATAATGACAAAAGTAACAACTTTCATACTGCATATTGTGTGATATATGAATGCTAAAGTACCGTAAGTATGAAGAGTATGGAAGGCAAAAACGTTTGTCGTGGACGTTTCATCATGTGCTTTATTTATTGTATACCAGCATTTACATTCCACCACTTATTTTGCTATGGAAATGCATGTTTTGTTGCTGCTTAATGTTTTGCTATGTTCTCTTAGCCCCTAAAGCACATCATTCCTATTACATGTTGTAGATTGAATAGCAAAGCACTTCAGAAAATCTCTTACATAGATAACATAGGATTTCTAGGAAGGCTGTTTGCTCAAGTAGCTCAAGTGTTCCCTGTGCTGATAAAGCTATTGAAAACTGGTTTTTCTTCTTGAGATTTTCCTCACAATGTAGTCTGCTTATACATGGAAGGTTAATATAAGTAACAAAAAAAGCATTAATATTTGTGTATACATATTTATGCTTGTTTATGTAAATAATGTCTTTGATATGTTTATGTCTTTATAATATATGCTTTTGCTGTAGTAGAAGATTCAGTGATTCCTGTGAAAAGAGTTCCCTGCAAACAAAGCGAAGATGCAGCTGTATGCAGATGAAGAAGAGTTGAAAGTAAAACATCAGCGGTATGATTAAGATATTAGCAAATTATTTCATACATATTTGTAATAAAATGCAGATAAATAATATTAATCTGTCCTTCTGTAACAATAGAACCGCAGAGCGTGTCAATTTGACCCAAATCAATGTTTAATTTGTCACCACAGGAAAAGTATTGAATCAAAAACAAATTCCTTTTCTGTCTTTTAATAATTTAAGGTAATCCATAACTTACGGAATTTGAAACTGCAAAACAGATATACATTTTGGGTTCAGAACACTTATGTCTCGAAATGCGAAGTGGGTCATTTTGACCCGTAACAAAAGTTTATGCCTAAATGAGGAAAAGCAGATGCGTTTTCTCAGAAGTAAATGTAAAGTATATCACATTCATCCTCAAATTCCTAAAATGGACTGCACCAGGAAAGGGAACTGTGTGGTTTTCCGTCAAGGTTCGAAGCCAGTGGGAAATTAAAACCAATATTTCGAATGACCTTTTTGAAGTTTCTTTTATTCTATATCTAGTATAAGGATAGATAAGATGTCAAGACGCTTTTTAGAATTGCTCAACACTCTTCAGGAAGCCTCAGAATATTTATCTGATTATTTTCAACAATTATCTGAAAATGATTCAGGTGATGATAATGATGACAGTGTTTCGAATTGAATATCGAGGATGAATACCTGCCTGCTAATGAAGAAAATAAAAGTGATAATGACTCTGTCAGTGCCCTAACAATCACTGGACCTTCTCATCGCAATAACGATGATAATTAATCAGATTAAAAAATTCTAAGAAAATACGCATACACGCAAGGAAATCCGAAGAGAAATTGGCAGTAACATTCAAAGTTGGAAATAACGAAGTTGTGAAAGATGGGGCAGTTTGGAATGTCTCTCAGTTAGGAATAAATGGATAAAGAAAGAAAAGTAAAATATTTTGAAGAAAGTTCGGTCACCAACCTTTTCATAGACCTTTTTATAGATGAAGTGATATTGAAGCATATATAGAAATGCACTGAATATAAAGCTCATCAACAGATTCATGAAAATGAATGGATTATTACAGTAGAAGAAATGGATGCTTTTATAGCAATTTTATATGCATGTGGTATATATATTTAAAAAAGACTGGGATTTGAATAAATTTGGAATCTGGTTCTGCTTAGCTTCAGATATTGATCAGTCCCTCTCTGTCTCTCCATCTCTATATATATGTGTGAAGAATATTGTGAAGTCTGCTTCCGGTAGGTGGCCGGTGCAGGCTTTTTATAATATTTTGGATCTTGTTGCTATCAATGCCTGTGTTTTTTCAAAGCCATATCTGAAAAAATCTCTTAGTACACGCAATTCATTCAAGACCTAGTTGATGAACTGACAGGAAAGTTTTTTCTCTCACAACAAAGAAAGGCAACATACGGGTGTATAACAAACCACAAAAAAAGACACAAAACCACAAGCTAGCCGTAAACCAGTCCGATGTCACAGTTCAAAATGTGGAAATAAAACCCAAGATATTTGGTCAAAAGGAAAAGAACCCATTTGTGATAAAACTGCAAAACTTATTACAAAATTTATAGCGCATAAGGCTTACAATAAAATGGATTTTTGAAAATCTGTAAAACTAATAAGTAACGGGTAGAACTTTTATTTTTTCTCTAAAATTATGTCAAAACTTATTTAAGTGATATATTCTGTTTTTCTGTCAAAATTAGAAACGTTATGTTTTATTTTGTTTAAAAGCCATGTTATTACGCTTAATAAAATTTTAAATAATATGGTTTTGTAAAAATTTGGATAATTTCCACTGGTTTATATGAAATATGTAACGTAAATTCTGAGAAATATTGATTGTAAGATAAAAATAAACTGTTTCAGTTAACTAAAGTAATCACCTGTGCATGTTTTCCGTCGAGGGTCAAATTGACTCGCACCGCAGTTCTGTATATTAAAGGTACCGCGATTCTACTGTTAAAGTATTGCAGAATATTTGTAATGTAAATTTATGTATACAGTAGACCATCAATATAAATATAAATTTTAAAAAAATTGGGTATATGGCAATTTTTCAAAATGCTGCATACAGTGATACAGTTAAAAAAGCTTTCACTAAAAACGTAAATAATTAATATATCTGCTCTGTTGAACATCAGTTAATGCAGTTTTAAAAACTGATATATTTCTTGATAAAATTATATGTATGTACTGACAACCAGTGTAATTAATTGTGTATATTACTGACACCACACTGCATGTCTTGCTTCTGCAGCTGCTCGCGTGTGTGTATGTTTATCTGTATATGTGGTACGTGTCAGATTCTGTGCCTATCCGGCAGTACACAGACGTGTCCCAACTGAGGTGGTGGTGTATTTAATTATGGCAAAGCACACTAGGCATAACTGCCTAAGTGGAGGGATGCCTTCGTGGAGGACATTCTAAGGCAAACTGGCTCTGTCCCAACTGAGGAGCCCTCATATTAATCAGGGGGGGTCAGCATCCTGAGTTCCCGTAGAGGTAGAACTACGCTAATCATGCTACTGCCTTAGGACCCCAATTTGAGGGACCAGAATGTTTTTCTGATAAGCAATGCTAAACTGCAAATGCATAGGGTCACCACTACCATTTCTCAGGAATCACAGTTTTGGGAAACATGAATGCTTGAAGATCAGTTTGTTCGTAAGTAATGTTCCCACCAGTACTACATGGGCTGCCCTACCGTAGGGCAATTATATGGAACTAAGTAGATGGCAGATTAGCCCTTGCAGCATCCATATAGATATCTCCAGCTCCAGGACTTGCATCTTTTCTCTCACTCCCTCTCTGTCTGTATATGTATGAGTGTAATAATTTGATAATTGTACGATGGTAGAACTGACTTATTTTTTCACTCATGGCCAGAGTGCAAATGGAATTCGAAGGTAGCAGAAATACTAATGGCATGGTAGGCTGGAATCTACAGAAAGCAAATCTTGCATGATGATTAAACACATATTATTTCTCATCATACACAATTTTTGGAAATCCATTTTGAAGACATCGCTTAGCACAATTTACAACAATCACAAGTTTAGAGCAATAGATGAAAAATTTCATATGGGTAAACAGATGATGGCTAGGTAATAGCAGAGGAGGAATATATGTGTTATGCAGCACTGCGTATAAATAAGATTGGAGTGCATTGTTTGAATTTTGCATTGGGATTTGGTAAGATCTTCCACAATGCAGAGAAAAAATAATGTCAGTGGAGATCTTTTGAAAGTGTTGTACTTATAATTAAAATAAAAACATTAATGAGCTATTGCCAGTTAAGTCAGTGATTTGTTTGTCATTGACATTCATATTTTTACACATTAAGTATATATTTATGAAATGGGTACATCATATCTGTACCCAGAATTTTGAATTCTGTACTATACACAATCAACTTTGAATTTATTTGCCACTCTTTCTTTTAAAGTGGGTGTTATTATTTAAATGGTTCCAGATACCCAAAATGCATAATTTTGCATTGCAATTTGGCAACAGCTTACACAGTGCAGAGAAAAAAATATCTGTGGAATTGCTTTGAAAATCTTGTACTTACATTAAAATAAAACAGTTGATGGGCTTTTGCCAGTTAACTCAGTGATTTGTGATGGTCCTTCATATATATATATATATATATATACATATATATGAAACTTTAGGTATATGTATGAAATGGCTTACATCATATCTCTAAATTATTTTGAATTCTGTACTGTGTAGAAGCAACTTAAAGTGTATTTACTATTTATTATTTTCAAGTGGGTTCTATTTTTAAAATGGGTTCAAATACTCAAAATGCATAATTTTGCATTGCATTTTGGCAAGAGCTTCCGCAGTGCGGAGTAAAAATAAAGTCAGTGCAGATTGTTTAAAAATTTTGTACTTATTATTAAAATAAAGAAATTAATGTGCTATTGCCATTCAAGTTAGTGATTTGTTTGTGATTGTCTTTCATATTTTAGGTATATACAGGATGTTTCAAAAAGAATATACGTATTTCGAATGCATATATTTATTAAACTGTATGACATACGAATATAAAACTTTACACATATATCTACGAACCTCTCGAGTTCAGATTACAGATGTGCAGTATGTCCTCCATAAGTGACATGAACAATATCACATCAATACTCAAATTCCTTCCATACTCTGGCAAGCATATCCATCATCACTGATGTATGTGTCTGGTTCTTCTCTTTGTTCAGGTTCTGTGGGTGTGGCAATACATAAATGTTATCTTTAATGAAATCCCACAGGGAGAAGTCACAGGATGTCATATCCAGTGAATGTGGAGGCCAGCTGATACAGGCTAAGTCGCCAGCTTCTTGACAATCAGTCCAATGGTTCGGTAGAGTTCCATTTAGAGAATCACTCCCTTGGTGAATTCAGTGAGGGGGTGCCCGGTATTGTTGAAAAATGAAGTTGTCTTTGTGCAGCCTCGGAAACAACCAGTTTTGTAACATAGTGAGGTACTGCTGACCGTGAACTGTGTTTCTATCAAAGAAGAATGGGACGTAAACAGATGATCGGGATATCACACAAAGCACATTGATTTTGGGCGAATCTCATACATGTTCAATGGCTGCATGTGGGTTCTGTAGGTCCAAAATTTAAACATTTTGTTTGTTTACGTGACCACTAACATGAAAAGTTGCTTCATCACTGAACATGATGCATTGTGGAAAGTGTTATCATTGTCAATAGCATCAATAATATTGTTACAAAATGCTGCATGTTTGTGTTTGTCACCAGGACGCAGAGCCTGAAAAATGTAACTTGTACAGCTTCATAACTGACCCACATCTTAAAACACACCAAATTGTTGTAGGCAGTTGTAACTCTCGACTGGCACGATGAGTTGATTTTGAAAGACTAGGTTGGAAAGCAGTTTGAATTCGTGCAACATTTTCATCAGTAACACGAGGATGGCCAGGAGTCTTTCCTTTACACATCCTGTATTTACAAACTGTTGATACCATCTGCGAATGTTCTACCCATTCTGAGGATCACTTTGGTACCTCAACATGAAACGTCTTTGCACTGTAATCACAGAATTGCTCTTTGCAAACTAGAAAACACAAAATGATTTCTGCTGCTGAATAGCCATTTTAAACATGTGACGCTTACCATGCAAAACAGAAGACAACTTACATCTAGATATTGATATACACCAGACTATGTATTCGTTTCACCAATAGCCGAGCTGAAGCGCAGTCATTGATACTTTTGACAAAATAACACTGTAATATGCATATTCGTTTTGAAACACGCTTTATATGAAACATCTTACCTGATTTCTGTTAAAACAAATTTTGAATTCTGTACTGTACACAATCAAATTTAAATTTATTTACCATTCATTATTTTGAAGTAGGAGTTATTTTTTAAATGGTTTCAAATACCGAAAACGCAGAATTTTGCATTGCGATTTGGCAAAAGCTTCCGCAATACAGAGGAAAATATTATGTCAGTGAAGATGATGTGAATGTGTTGCAATTATATTAAACTAAAGAAATTGATGGGCTATTGCCAATTAAGTCACTGATTTGCTTGTGAATTTCATATAGAAGATAAATATGTGTTTATATATATATATATATATGAAACTGCTTACATCATATCTTTTAGGAAAGAGTGGGTTGGAATTGAAGTCGTTAACTAAAAAAGATAAATCTTTGTGAATATGAAAAGTGCTAAGAAATCCCAATTTTGAACATAAAAAGCTTCTTTGTAAATTTAATTTTCTTGGAGATTTTCACATTCACAAAGATTTTTGTTTGTATGTATTAAAGACAAAACTTGTTTGCTTATTTCTGCACCAAACTGTAAATGTTGCTACTGGAATAAGTTAGATTTTTTGTAGTCTTTCTTTTATTTATTTTAAAAAAAAATGCTAATAGTTAATATTCAATAATTTTAGTTTACATGGACATAATCATCTTATCCCAGTGTATTCAGTCGTTTGGGGACTAAACGTACTGAAGTAGTAAAGTGCCGAACTGATAATACTAATGAAGAGAGTACTGAAGAATTCACGCTGAATCGAAGGTCTCGCTACGGCATGGTGGATGGGTACTCAGAATTTAATGCCTGATGAAGAAAACAAGGCTTCTGAAGAAGGTTTTTATAAAGCTTCATTTTTTTATTGATTAGGGTCTAATTTAAAAATTGTAACTGGAAAATAAATAATACTTTTTTAATTAAAATAAATAAATAATAGTAATCTTGTGTTTCTCTTATACACTGAGTAAATATTAGTGTTGCTGACAGAAACCTAGAGCATGAGAATAAATACTTTGCACTAGAAATATTTTGCATTGGCTTATCACTATCAGTAAAGGATTTGTAGAAATTCGAATCTGCATCGTATACTGCACTTTTTTATTCCACTAGAAGGATAAATTATAAATATTTATTTTCTTGCTGTCTCTGCCTATTATTTTGTTTATAATTTTAAATAAAATAAAATGCCATTTTAAACATCAATTTCAGAGTTTTTAGGAATAATTTTTCCTTTTAGAAGCTATGAAAATAACAAAAAAAAAAAAAAAAAAAAAAAAAAAAAATTGAGCAGGTGCAATTTAAATTAGTGCAATTATATAGATCCCCAATTATATAGATGCAGTTCTTACAATATACAGTAAGACATAAATATGGAATAACAGTTATAGTTAAAATAAAACACTTTTTTCAGTTGAATTCGGAATGAGTTTTGAAACTAAATCCCTATCTTTGTACATACCATCTGTAAGAGAGCAAGTTCAAATTAGTTATATCAGGCACTTTTAGGAAATAATTACCTCCTGATGAAATTTCAAATCAAATTGATCTAGTAGAAGATTTCCACTTATTCTATACCAGCCTAAAATCTCAAAATCATTATGTACTCGAAAAACTGGAATGAAAAATATATTTCCAGTAACGTTAAATTTTTAAAGTTTGCTTGATAAATATTCTTACATTTTAAGATAAATGCAACTGATTGAAACTCTTTACCTTATATTCATAATATGATGGATAACTGTAAATAGGAAGAAAAGCAGGTAGATTAAAAGTTTGGTCCTTTGAACTGCTGAAACTGTAAGAATAATTTCAATAAAAATTTGTGTATGAACATTTTATATTTACAGGTTATGCATAATTATATAAAAGTTGGCTATTAATAAATATTACAATAATGAGTATAATCTAATTTTTCATGTACAAGATAAACAGAATATTCCAGCATTATAGGCATGCTGATAATTAATTTTATGGCAGTGCATCACAGAAATCTACAGATGTAACAGGAATGATGGTCAGAGATTTTATGTGGTGATAGATAATAATGACAAAAGTAACAATTTTAATACTGCATTGTGTGGTGATATATGAATGCTGAAGCACTGTAAGTATGAAGAATATGGAAGGCAAAAACTTTTGTCATGGATGTTTTCATGAGGTAGTATTTGATATTTACAAAATATCTTTAAGTAGATAACCAGTATCTGCAGCATATACATCACATTGACCAGGTTAGCTGTTCTGAAGATTGTGCCGCCAGAATTTGTATCACTGGTGTCAAAGTATTATGATATGTTTGGGCATTTTCCAAAGAGTATACTAACCGCTTTGATACTACTGTGATGCCAGTTTTGTATTTGATGGTCATTCATTTGAACAATTGTAATGAATGTGGATACTTATGTCTTGTAAATATGCATGATTAATAATATCTTTTTCATCATGTGCTTTATACGTATTGTATACCAGCATTCACATTCCACCACTTATTTTATTATGAAAAGGCATGTTTTCTTGTCGCTTAATGTTTTGCTATGTTCTCTTAGGCCCTAAAGCACATCATTCCTATTACATCTTGTAGATTCAATAGCAAAGCACTTCAGAAAATCTCTTACATAGATAACATAAACTTTCTAGGAAGGCTCGTTGCTCAAGTAGCTCCACTATTACCTGTGCTGATAAAGCTATTGAGTACTGGTTTTTCTTCATGTGCTTTTTTATGTAAATAAAGTATTTGATATGTTTATGTGTTTAAAATATATGCTTTTGCTCTAGTAGAAGATTCTATGAATCGTATGAAAACAGTTCGCCGTAAACTAGCAATGATGCAGATAAATACAGATGAAGAGAAATCACAGAAAAGGTATCAGCGGTATGATATTAAACAAATGATTTCATACTTATTTGTAATAAAATGCGGATTAATAATATTAATCTTGCCGCCTTTAAATTATTGCAGAATATTTGTAATATATATTTATGTATACAGTGAACTATCAATATAAATATGAATTTTATTAAAAATGGATATTTGGCAATGTTTCATATAGTGATACAGTTAAAAAAGCTTTCATTAAAAACTTAAATGATTAATATTTCTGCCCTGTTGAACATCAGTTAAATCAGTTAAAAGAACGATATACACTGACTACCAATAAGTATTTGGACACCTGTGATAGAAAAAAAAACTAACTATGTCAAAATCAATAGAGCCTCCACGAGAATACACGTTGGTCCGCGGCATCCTTCCACAATCTTTGTATGACAGCTAGTGGTATTTTCTTCCACTCACTTGGGAGACATGAAGTTCTCACCGATTCACCCTGAGTTCCCCTGAATTCGCGATTCAACTCGTTACGAGGTTCTCATGGGTTCAGGTCTGGACTCTGGGCAGGCAGTCCTTGATGAATCCATTGCCCATACCAGCTTGGTAATGTCGAAACAACAACTGGCATTCTCGTCCTGAAACAAGGGTCAACCGTAAAACTGCCCAGCTAGGAAACACATTATCATCCGAATGTGGGTAGCCTAGGAGTTGAGCTTACCATATGGGGACCAAGGTCCCGCCCATACCAGGATAAACACCTCAGACCATATTCCACCTCGCGACTTGACAGTTGGCACAATGCATTCTGGCGGAACGTTCTCCAGGTGCCAGACCCAGACACCGCCATCCGAATGGAAAGGGTTAACCTGATTCTCTCAAAGAATCTTCCACTGATCTCTACGGTCCAGTTCGATGTGCTTTTGGACCACATTAACCGGTCAGCGGTGGACTTTGTGATCAAGGCTTATGGCAGCAGCACGACCATGAAAACCAGCAGAGTGCTTCCTGACGGTTGTATTCAATTGAAACGATATCCCGGATGCCTGGTGAAGCTCTAGCAGAGAGGGCATTGGTTGGGTGCGGTTCTTCCGAATTTCTCTGGACATCACTTGTCGTCTCTATCTTCCAGTTTCGTTGGTCTTCCGACTCTGGTGACATCCAGCAATCAAGGCTCACTTCCACTTCTTATCGCATAGCCACTGTCGATTTGGGTTTCATATCATAGACATTCCCTTAAGGATAGCCACATTTGGATACCCGTAATATACCTTTCTCGAAGCAGAAAGCTCCGACTGGAGCACTTGCAGCAACTAAGCGATTTTTTCCTACACATATTACTGGCAGAGACCAGGATGTACCTTAGGACCGCAGATATCATCATTTGCATAGGTGTCCAAATACTTATTGGTAGTCAGTGTATATCCTGTGTAAATGGAAATATATTTTATGTGTTCCATTATATTTCCTGTGTGATGTATGTACTGGTAACCAGTATAATAAAATGTTTATGTTCTAGGGTAAGGGAAGATTTATTTAAAATAATTAGAAATGAGTAGTCTTCCCCTTTCCTTTCGATTTTAGTGGTCTATTAGCTTACGCACAGCACGAACGAAAGACACTCACACCATACACACAGACAGACTTTTTCTTTTATTATGTGTAAAGATTTACTTATTTAACTTTGGTATGTGTATGTGAAAATAAAAAATATCATTGTAAAGTTTCTCACATGCTATTTTTAAGGTAATATGGCTGAGATTAAATATAATTATGTTTCATTATTAAAACTATTAACTTTTAATAAAAAAGCTTGAATTTTATTTTCTCCTTTTTAGTTTTCCTTAGTTCTTTTTTAGTTTGTAATATTAAAACAGTTAAGCACAATGAAACTCGCTAAGAGATATTTTATTCTTTATTTATTAGACTGAGCTTATATCAAAGTTTAACATATTTTTTGAAAGCTTTTTGAATGTAACAATATAATTTGGCAATTTTCTCATATTTTCTTCAGATTTCTGATAAATTAAAACTGCCAGCTGAACCTGTCAGAAATGAATCCAAGTAACTCTTAATCTTCAACGACGCATTTGAATAGTGTTTTATTTTATTTATTTATTTTTTGTGGGGGGGAGGATGGAAAACTTTAGAAGTCAACATATTACAAATTTAAATAGTAGAATCATCTCAATCTATGTAATAATATGTAGCATCTATTAGAGTTTGAAAATTTAAATCGAAAAATTTAATAATAACTGATTTATCTGAAAATTACGAACAATAATTATTATATTAAAACTGAAATTCAAATAGGAAAAATGAATTAATTTATGTAAAATCCAAGTTGTCAAAAATTAAACTAGATTATTGAAACTGTGCTTTCAATTCACGTTGAAAACAGTATTTGTGATAGCCGCACAAAAGTGGTTTTTTTAATCATAATAGAATACGGTTAGGTACTTTTTTCTTCTCATGAAATAAAAAGTTTGGATTTTTAAAGTCCATATTAAATTCATATTTGCAAAATTTTCTGCAATGGTTAATTAGTCATAAATTATTCTATTTATGTGAGGAAAATTACATTCCATTTATAACTAATTGTAATTTTGTAGAATTAAAAGAAGCAGTGTGGCCAGTATTCCCTTTCACCTTCCTTTGTCAGACTTATACGAAGGCACTTCCATTTGTCGCGTAAATATAATAACAAAATTATACATACATGTATATGTTTGTAATTCATTATTTTGATTGATTCTCTTAATTCAGCCGGAGCCCAAAATGAAATATGTTCCTCTATTTAAATTTATTGTTCAATTATTTGTTATTAGTTTAATTTATTTTTTATTTTATCTTTATTCTTGAATCTACTTTGTGCAGCTGAAGAAAAAAGGGAAAAAATATTCATTTTAACGTAGCTTATATATCGGTGTGGGTTTTTGTCAGTGTGGGCTTTTATCAACATGGGCTTATACCTGTGTGGGCTTTTATCAATGTGGGCTTTTATCTGTGTGGGCTTTTATCAATGTGCACTTTCATCGGTGTGGGTATTAGTTGCATGGGCAATTATCCCAGTGGGGTGTTTTTTGAGTGCTTTTGTCCAGTGGACTTTATTGTGGTCACTGTTGTACTTACATTAAAATGAGGAATTTAATGGGCTATTGTCTGTGATTTGTGTTTGTCTTTCATATTTTATAATTTAGGTGTGTATATAAAATTGGCTGTATCATATCTTTAGAGAATTTTGAATCCCCTACTATACAGAATCAACTTGAAATTTATTTACAATTCATTATTTTGAAGTGGGTGTTATTTTTTTAAATGGGTTCAAATACCTGAAATGCTTGTTTGTTTCAGAACTGTTACTTGAAACTTTACATACATATTTTCAAGGATAATTTTTATAAGAATATTTTTGCTAAGACTTAAAATTAATTTTCAATTAATAGTGTGTGTTTAAAATTAGACTTTGCGTTATTATCCAATTTATGTGAAAAATGTAAAGCTGTATTTAGTATGATGTATATATTTTGTGCATGAATAAGAATTCATTTTTTAATTAATTTTGTGGACAAATCAGAATTCACGAAGTTTTGCAGTAGAGTCTAGGTCATCGAAATACTTTGTCATAATTTTTTAACTTGGGTAGCTGCATCAGGTTTCACTCAATTTTCAACCATTAGTTGTGTAGGAAATGGTTGTATGGAAAAATCCTTTCTTTAAGATAGGGGCCCCATAGTAGATGGCAGTTTGTGTACTTTGCTGTGCATTTGCATTTACTATTAATCTCTTTTATAAAGCAGAAATGAAATTTTGATATACGAGGGCTATCCAGAAAGTAGATTACGTTTTGGAATAAAAAAATAAACAAAGTATAGGAAACAAATTTTATTAATACAGATGATGAAAGCCACAACAAATACTACGTTTCTACATAGTCACATACCAAATTAAGCAATTATGTTAGCGATGTACGAGCTTGGAATTTCCTTCGTCGAAAAAAATTAGGCCGCCGCGCCTTCAACCACTTCGTACCTCTTCTTGCCTCATCTGCACAAAAACTTGTGGTAAACAAGCTTTCGCTGAATGATTTAGTGCAACAAACTTCGCGAAAATGTGGAAAAACTCAAAAAGTTCCGTTATTGTGAAATTTCGATTTTCAGGACTTTAGATCGATTTTTCGAGAAGTTTGTTTTGCGGCACTATCTGGTTCCACTTCATCTTCGGTGAACATTGGTTCGGCCATTTTGAAATCTTATGACCACTGATTGCATCCACCTTCAGGCTATAATGTTTGTCCCCATACACTTTGCACGAAGCTGCCGATCGATTTCTATCGGTTTACAGTTTTTGCAGTAGAAACCTTATACTGAGGCCCTCCAGCTCGCGGGAGGTGCATAACGCAGACATTTCAAAAAGTATCGAACGGACACAGCACGAACATCCACTAGCACGGCAATCAGAATGAGATGCGCAACGCTCTGACCCCAAGATGGCCGCGCTAGCCAGCCCTAGAGGACACAGACGGAAACGTAATCTACTTCCTGGATCGCCCTCGTACAACTTATTGTTATATTCATACCTGCCACAAATATGGCAAAACTCATATGTTAAGAGCTTTTAATCCAGTCTATTATATACAGTGTCGGAATAGATGTAAGGTACCATTTCTTATTTTTATTACTCACTTTACAGACAAAATATCATTCATAGCATTTTTTAAAGCCTGGAGTCAAGCTTTGTTATTGATTTCTTTATTGTGAAATTGTAGCTTGTGAACTTTGTCCATTAGATACAGTCTCATAGTAGACGTCAGATACTAGTCTTATTTTGATTACCCAGTTTAATGGCAAAATATAATTCAAAGCATTCAGCCACCAGAGTCCTCTGCCTGTCTGTCAGATATTATTTCGCAATGCACAGATATTATGCGCAGCTTGCATTTTGCTCGTGCATTCTTGCAAACGCTAATTGTAACTTTCTCGCTTTACTTGGCTGTGTTGTGGCTACGTTGAACGCTGAAAAGTTAAATACAGTCCACCTCAATGAGTATCTTATGTTTATTAGTTAAATTAAGATACCGCTACAGATACACCGGTGTCAAGCTTGTTTGATTTCTTAGTAAATCGTTAGATATATACGGAGTGTCTTTTTCTTTTTCTTATCTTTAACATTAAGTTAGTGAATACTGTAGTAATAAATATGATAAATACAATCAGATTATTCCATCTTTTTGTATATGAGCTTACCTAATTTTAAGGGGTAGTTTGGGGTGTTAATCCTATCCAAAATCAAAATCCAAAATACCAAGTTTACCTTTTACTGTTTGTCGAAGAAAAGAAGTAAGTATGGTAATCACCAAAAGTTCGGGTATCATATTCAACGGAATATCGATTGGACTGTTATCCAAGCAGGAATGAGTTGGTAGACATCCGCAAGAAGCACGACTAAAGGACTCTTTTCCCAAAAAAAATTATAAAACTGATTTAAAATGAATTCTGAAGAGAATTTTTCGTGGTGTCTGTGCGTATGTATTTCGCATAACTAAAAAATTAGTAGCCTTAGAACGTTGAAATTTTGTATGTAGGTCTGTAGCTGTGCACGTCATATTTTGGTTGCAATCGGCCACAGCAAAAGTATATGTATATATGTATCCACTCTGTTATTCGGCTTAGTGAGCTCAGTTTCTTTAGTCTTATATGTTTGTAAATTGTGCATATTTTGCTTTAAAAGTGATTGAATTATGTTGTTGTTATCTTCTGATTAAGGTTTTTATACCGTTAGTAAATCTGCATGCAGTATTTGTGGCGTTATCAACAATTTAAAAGTTGTTTAATTGCAGCTAAGCCTAATGAATTTTGTGATCGCGGACATGTTTGTTTACATTTTAAATATGGCAAAATAGCGGATTTGTTGTGAATCTAGAGAAACTAAGCTTCGCAAAACAAACAACAACTTTTATTAACTTTAGTTACTTTTATTATTGCAAATTAAATCATGCTTAATCCGTTCTGGAATTTATTCGATGAAATAAGTGTTTCAGACTTACTTCGTAATTTTTAATGTTGGTATTTTTAGTTTTTATGTGTTTTTGCCTTGTAGGGAAGTGAGAAGTGAATTAATTGAATGAGAAATACTGAACCATCTGTAAAAAATTTTCTTTTTTGTTTTGTGTGCTTAATTTCTTTTATACATTGTTTTAAATTTATTATAATATTTGAATAGAATGTGTTAACGATTAGATAATTCTTCAAATGATATAAATTTATATGCATTCGAGTTATATGGAGGAATTAAGCTGTGAAGTGACGAGCGCCAGGTGGCAGGTATAAAATAAGTGAATTTGAAGAGGCATTTATTCTATTGTGGGTTTAGGCGCAACATAGGAGATGGATTCCTCCAATAGTTTAAAGGAAAGCAGAAAAAATGCGTTAATTTATAGTCCATGCAAGGAATCTCACATCAGATTTTTTTTTTTTTTTTTCCAGAGTTTAAGGTTCACAGCTATGCTTTTTTAATCTGTGTTTTCATTTGTATTTTTAATGAAAGCTATTTAAGTTTTGACAGTTTAAAATGCTTTCATTTAAATACTAAAAAAAATAATTTTCTTTATTTATATAATATATTCTGAGTTTCCAAAAAATTGGTATATCTAATACTGAGATCCTTTATGGGAACATAAAATTGAAGAAATGTAGACTTCCCATGTGTGTAAGAGTATTCTGTTGGCAATGAACCCTATGCTTCTTGAAAGAGAACCATGATTTTGATGTAGGAAGGTGTACCATTTCGATGTTCCACAGCATGTCACATGTACTTGATTATATTTGACATCTGTCAACTTATTTGGCCATGAGAAGATTTCACACTCAGATGCATATTTCAATTACCATAATTTAGCATTGCCCTTTTAGATGAAGCCATAACCGTCTGATTTAATCCAGGGCATGGATGGATATAATTTATGAGGAAGGATGGGCAAGTGGAATTCACTTGTCACGCAGGTCACTTTCATAAATTAAGCATGCAAAAATCTTGAGTAGATTTAAATTTAGGTCTCCCTTTATCAAGAGCAAAGCAGTGTGTAGAATAGGAATGCCACAGTTATGTTTATACCTAAAAGGAGTAAAGCAAACGAGATGGTAGCTCTCTGTTGGCAGTAGTAGTAAACAAAATTGAAAAATGAAGTTAATAGAATTTTGAATGTGCTAGGAAGGATTGGATTGGATTGAAATTGAAGTCATTAACTGAAAAAGATAAATCTTTGTGAATATGAAAATCTCTATGATAGTCCAAATCACCAATGGAAGAAGCTTCTTTGTGAATTTGATTTTCTTGATAATTTTCACATTTACAAAAACTTTTGTTTGTATGTATTAAAGGCAAAACTTGTTTGCATATTTTTATACCTAACTGCAATTGTTGCTTCTGCAATAAATTAGAGAGATTTTTTTCAGTCTTTCTTTTACTTATTTTATTTTTAAAAAATGTTAATAATTAATATTCAATTATTTCAGTTCAGATGCCATTAGATCAACAAGTCCTAGTGTCCACAGACGTACGGAAGTAATGGAGTGCCAGAATAGTAGCAGTGATGCAGATGTTAACAAATGTGGCTTTAATTAGAAAAGTATCATCAAATTTTGATACCTGTATTGATAATGTCGAATCAACGGCTGCTCCTGAAGATCTGCATTCAAGAATCAAATGAATGCAAAGGAATTCTGAATCACCAGTTCATGAAGATGATTTTTAAAGCATTTCAGCATTCTGTGATTCTTGATAATGTGGTATTAGAAACTACTCATCTGAATTTTATTTTGTTAACAAAATAATTTTAAGTGCCACTTTATGGAAATACTTGAATGTAATAAAACTTTTCCTAATCTGTATATGTTATTGAAATAATTTAATTGATATGTATGGCTTTTAATATGTATGTAAGTATTTTGGTAAAACCCCAAAAATCTTTTCATAATTTGACAAGTATTGATAAGATTAAATCTAACACTCATTGCAATTCTTTTTTTTAAATTAATTTTTACATAATTCTGTTGAATATCGAATAGTACATGATTTGAACATGCTGCAATGTTTTATAAAATGATGTATAATTGTTACAAACCAGCATAAAATTTATTGATGAAAAGGAAAGAGTTATAGAAATAAATTTCATCTCAAAATTTTATTAAAAGCCCAACTATGCAGCCTTCCACTAACTAGAAAGCTCAAGTAACTAGAATATTTTAGAAATTTATTACAGAAATATTATACATTACCATTACATAGAAATATTACCGTATGGAAAATATAAACAGTGAAACCTGCAATTGAAATATTTCTAAAAGTTCTAAAAATTCAACATATTAATTTACTACATTTTCCTTTTATAGTTGTAAAAATTCAAAGTGTTGTTTTGAACATAATACTTTTTGATTAGTACGGAATTCATAAAGCTCTCTTGCCATTTCTATCATAGATCCACTTAATTTAAAAAAGTCTGTGTATTTGTAAAGTGTTCATTTTGATAACTCTTTGGGGATGGCTTTAATTTTTTTTTTTTCATTATTACCCCAAAACCACAAATTAAAAAAATTTGCATGTCTGTAACTGAATTTGATATAGTGTAACAAATTGCAAAAATTTTTAACATTCTGATCTTCATATTTATAACCTACCTTCTAACATTCTAAATACCTATGATCAAATTAAAATTATATTTTCATTCTTATATATGATTAGCTTTCACTTCAGTTTCTGTTTCAATACAAAATTAGGTAGTAATATGATAATTTATTGAAGTTCCTATACTGCAGTTGCTTGTAAAGGTTATGTACTTTTTTCATTAAATGTCCATGTATGCCACTTTCCTTTCACACATCATGAAGGCATTCTTCCCTCAAGAAAATTGCCCCTATGTGTTTTGTTGTAATCAATCAACTGAACCAGTTATGTTCACGACAGAAATATTGCTAGTGTCCATTCAAATATAGGTTGAACACATTAAAAGAGGTCAAACACAAGGAAAATATCCTTGATGATGATGATGATGGAAATCTCGTGAAGTTTCTGAGGATTCGTTGGTATCTCAGGTAGAACATCTATACTGAGGCAAATAGGCGCAGCCAATGATAAAAATGGCCAAATAAGCTCTGCCATGCTGTCACAACCTCCGTCTGAAGTTGACTTTTTCATCCCTATGATTGAACTTAGTCATCGTATAGCACAATAAAATATGCCTTATTACATCAGATTTCAATAGCTTCATATCTCTAATATGTAGTTATTTTATTTCTGTGATGATATTATTTATGTCTTATTTAGGAAATTTAAAAAAAAAAAAAATTAAAAAATTGTTAAAATAGTGTCAGTGCATGTTTATTGACTTTCACAAATGTTTCTCTTATGTAATACAATTAATTAAGTATCATGCATTCCTTCATTTATCCTTTCATTATCCATGAATTTATATTTTTGAAACTAAATATCTGAAGATCAATTAAGTTATTTGTAACAAGATGTTAGTAGAACTTTCTGCTATGCGGTGGATGGCTAAGCTTGATTACAGATACAGTAAGCACCATTCATTTCTACTTCCATTCCTCATTAACACTACTGTCTCTCTATTTTTTAAATCATGATCCTTTCTTCTTCTGTTGTTGCCATTCTGGAAAAGTACAACTTTCTTTTATTTATAATTGACGAATCTTAAAAGCCCTTCCACAAGAAGCACAAACATCATCATAGAGATTATGCTGCTCAGAGATCAGATACAGAGAGTCTGAAAAATACAGTAACCAAAAAAGAAAGAAAGAAAGAAAGAAAGAAACAGAGCTTCTGTTCAAAACAATGAAATATAAGTGAGCGCTCCAAAATATGCAGCTCCCCAAAATAAAATGGTTTAAAAAACCTATACTAACATAAAAAGTATATGTGAAATTATATATATAAAACACATACACACTATCAGAAGTTAATACTACAGTATTAAATTAATACTCTTGCAAGTATTTTATTTTTGTGTTGTGAGAATAAGTTTTCTTTATAATTTAATTCTGGTTACGAGTTAACTGATAGCCTTGATCATCAGCATTTCCGTGTCAACTGCCTTTGCGATATGTCACAGTCGTGTTGTAATGCTAAGGGATTACCTAGTTCACGTGTTTTGCCAGAAAATAATGATATTGTTGCGTGCGTACGGGTTTGTTTCAATTGAATGCACGAGTCCGATGGAAAAAATGAACAGAATTTATTATCACGACAAATAAAACAAAATGCTTCAATTTCCTCAGATATTCGTACAGTATCTCACAGTAGTTATCTTTTAACTACTCAAACGTTCAAGAGAACTTAATTCAAAAAAGCTAGAGAAAGCTAATCCACGAATTCGCTACGGTCAACAAGAGCAGTTTTCTAAACAACAACAAACTAAGTAACTACAACGAACTGAGAGGTTTTCCTCCTTTTATAAAATTTTATAATCGCGCGCGAGAATTTCCTAGTACTTTCTCGAAATCAAAAAGAGATATTTATTAAATGTTACATGCACGCGCTCTTGTATTTTCAGTTTTCCGGCTTAGCTCTCTTTTAATATTCGTCACGCGCTGCACTGCGCGGGAAATAAAACCATTTAATTTACAATTCAACTAACATAAGCTGTTTAGATACCAAATCCGTAACAATATCAACAACTGAGTTATAAGGACTTACAATTACAACTTTAATGACCCTGTATGATTCCCCACTGTGTAATTCTAAGTTACAGTTAAAAGTGAAGAATCTTAAGAACTAGTAAGCGAATAATCGCTTGAGTTCGTGAGACAGTGAATAAAATTTATTATTCAAATGAGATTTAACAGAATTTCGTCTTGAAGTTGTACGATAAAGCCGACACTCGGTCTTCAACTTAAGAGCCTAAGAATTAAACTAATCTTAAGTAAAAAAGAGATATAGCCGAAGCTATCACAATTCCAACAGAGTTGGCCCCTTAACGCTAATTGACTGCGAAGCTATCAAGGGCCTAAAGTACGGCCGAGCTTAATAATAGCTTACGAGAGAGTAGCCTAAAAAGGGGGACGCGTGCAGCCAGAAAATCTGGTATCTCTCTCCATTAATACAGTAGAACTTCGCGGTTAAATACCGCTCTTCCTCATTAGCATTCAGACGTGATTCTAAAACTACATTCTGGCCGGAAGTGGTAAGTTGAAATTAAGAAGCGATAGGAAAGGAAGTTTAACTCAAAATTTAACTGTTAATAAAATTAACATAATTCTTACAACCCAAATAATAGTAAACGGCCTATTAGGCCATAGTTAGTACTCATATTGTATAACTTACTTAATCTGTTATGTACCTCTTAATATTGTGTTGTAGATTTAAGATTTAATTATTACTAGTGTACCTAGAGACTCGCACTACTTAGCCTATTAGTTATATATATGTTATGAATGTTTTTTTTCTGCATCAGGCTATAGCCAGCTCATAGTCTTTTTAGAAATTTATCTTTTATTTCTTATATCTATTCTTATAACTTTAAAAAATGTTAGAAAACATGATTTAATTATATATATATACTAGTTACTCATGAAAGTATTCGAAATAACATATCTGTTCTACAAGGGGTAGGGTCCTTGACCCAGGCACCCTGGTGCTACACAGTTTCCTCAGTGCGACAAAATAATGATCTGGCACTACACGCCCTGCTCCACTTCCTTAAGTCCTCCGTATTAGGCGGGAGGCCGGGGACAGGCAGAAAAATAATGCCACAAGAGCGACTTGGTATCTCGCTCCCTGTCGCTCGTCCCACACTTACCAGCGACAGTTTGTAAATTTAACTCCCCCAACCAATCTGACTGAGCCCGCTGGGTCAACACTCTAGGTTGTCAGTCTCCTAGAAATGTGTGGCTCTATATTCGCCTGACAAGTTGACTGGTCGTCAGAAATGCTACCTGCCAGTACCACAACGAGGTGCCTCAAAGCCTGATGTTGATAGGACTTAACATTCGGGATTTACCCCTCCTCACCCTGTGGGGCACCCAGACGAATCCGGAGGCAGTTGCCTGCTACCCCACAGGTCACGGGGAACTGCGAAGCTCAATGATTATGTGCCCCCGTGGCCAAGGCTGCCTAAGTACAGATCCTAGCCAGTACTTCACAGAGTTTTCTGCCTTGATTCCCGGGAGGCGGGGGGGGGGTAAAAAGTTACGGCTGAGCATTGAACAGCAGACGTGTCAGTTCATAGTAATGTGCGTTACCGCAGGTCTAAGCCTGCACATGTTTTAACGCTAAGGCCCGAAGAGACAGATTAGCACCATGAGGGGTACTTTGGGTCAAGTAAGTGAGGGGATGGGGGTCAGACACAATTTGCACTTTGGCACCGAAATTCCAGGTGTCAAATTTTTTCAAGGCTTCGATGACACAAAATGCTTCTCTTTGGTCGTTCACCACCGTTGTTGACAGAGCGTTAAGTTATTGCTGAAAAATGCTATGGGCATTTCTTTGCCATGTTCGTCGTTTTGAGCTAAACACGCTCCAATTGCGAAAGCAGATAGCATCCGTATAGAGTTGAAAGGGCTTGCTCTGTGTCCGGAGTATGCAGAGATGGCATTTTAATCAACTCTTCTCAAATTTGTTGAAAGATGTTTCCTTTTTAGAGAAGACGTCGATTTCTGTTTTACAAAACGAGTGTATTCCGTCCATGGAATATTATTTGGAAACACTCTTTTTGTAAGGTTTGTTAGAGGTAAAATTATCTCAGAAAAATTTTGGGATATAATCCCTATAGTAGCTTGCTAGCCCTGAAAAGACTTCTTTTTTAGTGGTAGGCTTAGACAGATTTCTGATGACTTCTACTTTCTCAGGATCTGGAGAGTGAGTGCCAGAACCTATTACA